CGAACCGCCAAAAAGACTGAGATTGATAGCATTCTTTGAGGCAAACTACAACAAAAATGACACGTAATTAACACCAAAACATTGCATAAATAAAAAAGCATCTATTGAAAAAATGCCATTCAGATTAAAGAAAATGCCATCCAAGGTATGAAAAGATGCCACCCAACAAAAGAAAAATGCCATCCAAGGTATGAAAAATGCCACCCAACAAATATGGAAAATGCCATCCAACATATAAAAAATGTGATCTAGAATATATGAAAATGCCATCTAAACATGAAAACCTTGCCATGATGACAAAAATAAAAAATGCCAACTAATGTGTAATAAAAAAATGCCATCCAAGGTGAGAACACAAAGCCACCCATAAAAAATGAAAAAACAACCCAACATGTGTAAGAAAACCAAAAATGCCATCTAAACACATATATATTTGTCATACTAACAAAAATAAAAATGTCATTTAATCTACATAAAAAATGCCACTCAAGTTATGAAAAAATGCCATCTAACAAATATGAAAGATGCCATCCAGGAGGGAGTGGGTATGCCAAAAAAATGCCAAAAGGAGGTAAGTGAAAAAATTGGCACAACCAAAATGAAGTAACATCTAACTTTTCAAAGGATCCATCTGACTTCTTGTCTGTCGTGAAAACGGCTTTGATGGTCTGGTCAGACCATGCAACTACAACCGCCATAAAAAACTTATGATACGATCATGACAGTATACAAAAATGCCAAGAAATACCGGCATTGCAGTTATAATGCAAAAAATGTCATCCAGTGCATAATCATAAGCCACCATCAAGAATTGTGATGGTAGCGTTTGAAGAATGCCATCAGAAAAGCTACTTATGGCACTATGATGTGAAAATGCCAACCAGTACACGATTAAAACATATACACTGCCATTTAACTACCATTACAGATGCCATCATCAACAAAAGGTTTAAATGCCATACAAACTACAGTAAAAAACTACCATCAAAATATAAAAAATGATCCTAGCATAGAACATGCAAACAACCATGTAAAACTACCAATGCCATTAAGGTGTGAAAAATGCAACTCAAGAAGGGGCATAAATGCCATCAAAATGTAACACATAAAAAAAGACATTTAGTGGTGACAAAGTGAGAAATATAGTGTTAACGGGCGACAGAAAATTTGGTGATCATCGTTGTTGGGAAATAAGGAATACCTCGTTTGGGGGATTATTGACGCCACGATGCCCCATGCCTGAGATATCCATGAAATCATTAATACCATTGTTCAAATCCTCTCTGACCATCTTACAAAATCGGAAACCTGAAAATAAAATATGGACAACAACAACAAAGGACCACATCAGGCAGGACGCACACACAAAAAATAATTTAAACAAGATGGGTACACACATGTCACCTATTCCCCCTAAAAAGAACCAATCTAAGGACACACATGGCATTTCCCCACAAATAAAATCTGACAATATAACCACATGACACTTTGCATCCAAAAATGAATCGCCATCTACACACACATGGTAGTTTCCCTCAAATATAAAAAAGCCTGTGCACGCATATCCCCCCTAAAAGACCCACTGTAAGGGCACACATGACATTTTCTCCCAAAAGAACAATCCCAAAATAAACCATATGGCAGTTTTAATCCAAAATTGCCACCATCTACAAAAAAAATGGCAGTTCCCATAAGAAGATCATAAACAACTATGACCCCCCGAAAAGCAGACACACTCTAATTACACACATGTCATTTCTCCTAAAAAACAACACCCCAAATCAACCACAAAGCAGTTATAATACAAAAAACTACCATCTACAAAAGCAAACATGGCAGTTTCTCTCTACCCAACAACCATCTACAAC